GTGTCGAACGCTTTGCTAAAGTCCAGATAACAGTACCTTTTTTTTCATTAAAAACATGTGAAATTTGTGGGAGAGGGGTGGGGGTCACAGTACAGGTATGTTGGGTTTTGTTTTATTATTGCACTGAGCATGTTGTGATTACTTAGTGACTGAAAGTAATAATAATTTAATACCCGACCCTAGGACTTAGAATCTGAGTCTGGGACCAGGATGGGTTTGTTGCCCTTTTTTTTTTTCTATTTTTTTTTCTTTTCTCCTAATTGCTGTCAATTTTAGGGGGGTTACAAGTGAAGGAAATAATGAGAACAGCCTGGAATTTAGGGTCCTACGAATTCCTAATGCATCAGAGTTTTTTCGACTTTAAAGAATGGAGCTGCTTACAGCACAAATGCATTCACGCTTAATGCAATTAGGTACATTTCTCAAAATGTTAATTTTGCAAAACCTTTTCCTTTGACCTGGAAAAAAGGATAAATAAAACATGATGCTGCTTGCTCCACACAATCTATTCCTCCTTCCGCTTTAAGACAGCTCCAGTTTAGTCAGACAAAATGTTAAGGAAGATTTGGATTGTTTTTCTCATGAAAATGGAAAGGAAATCCTATGGATTCTATTCTGAAACTGGGAAATATGAGTAGGAAGCATGTGCAGACTGTGTTATCAGTGCTGCTGTGTGCGGTGAGTTAAACAACTGGATTGCAGTAGTACATTTGTTTAACCTCCTAGTGTAATGAGCTGCCAGGGGGATTGCTCCACTTAATAGCAGCCGTTCATTACTCTGCAACCATTTGCAGCGTGTTATTTCTCTTATAGCAAAGAGAATTGGTGGTTCCTAGTTTTAGCTTTCTGTATTTGTGACAATGTCAACAGCCTTGAGACTTTGCCAAAACAATCCTAACAAATCCTAATCCCAGTGTTTCAAGGTGAGTATTTGCTTCTCAGAATTCTTCTGTATTAGTGCTGCATGTTTACACTGGACCTTTTAAAATGCAACAGTGATCAAAGAAATATTTGAACTGAACAATATGTTTATTTTTTGTTCTCTGAAGGCACTTTGCATGTTCTTTCTTTTTACCTTTCACTACCATAGCTATGAAATTTGTGGTGGAGGGCATTTTGGGGTGGTGATGCTGCTGCCATATTATAAGGATCATCAGACCAAAATTAATTATGAGTCAATGTGAATTCCATTTATAATGACACAGATGTAGTTCGATGTGCCAGGCTGTACATTAAAATGTCAAAAGTTTCAAAATTAACCTACGGCTGAAGCCACCCTCTACCCAAGAGCATAATTAATGCTGCTTGTTTTTCAAAGGGTGCAATGTAAAAGCAATAGAGCTTTTATAAAACAGAGATCAATTCTTTAAAGGCATCCCATTTGCAAAAACTAGCTGAACTGTCAAGGGAGAAGAGAAAGTTTTGCTAATGGCAAAAGAAATTATTATTTTAGGGAGTGAATTAATAGGCTATTAATGAGCCTTGTTCCCAGTGCATTGTTCACTTCACACTTGACAGCAGCTCCATGGATCAGAATGGAATGTGTCTGTTCTTAACTGGGAGTTTTAATATTTTGCAGTGAAAGATCATAATGTTGCTTCATCATTAAAATAACCACAAAATTAACTTTTGCCCCAAGGGAAAGACAGATGGCAGTTTGATGGCCTCATTATTCTTTTTTTCTTTTTAACAAGAGTAAGGTTTTAGACTGGCTTACATAATCTAAAAAGATCTCTGAAGAAACTGATGCTAGCTAGAGGATTAAAAAAGACAGCCATATAATGTAATTGAATTTCACCTTTCTAAAAATCTTAGCTATAACAAAGCCTTATGTGTATGTCTGTTACTTTTTTTCCTGCAGCAGTTGTCCCAGTGACTACTCCCAGTAAGTAAACTGGTCTCACTGAATCAGGAGTAATCCTACCATTGTCTTAGTGGGGCTAACGTTTCACCTGCAGCGTACACAGTTACACATAAACAGATCTTCACGGGGTCAGTTCTCTATAGGTATTAGGTGATGGCTTACTCTAGTAACAGAAGTAAAGGAAGATGCATGTAGTGACTGGAAGAAGTGAATAGCCACAAGGTCTCCAGTTAACTTGCTATGCAGCTCTGGGAGGTGTGCTACCACATGGGTACCTCGGCATGCCCATTTCCAGTGGAGCACGGCATCAGGTAGTTCCTATTGGCTCAGACAGGAATTTGTGGATGCTTTGAGCTTTTGAGAATCTGGGTAAATAAATATTTAACTACCTCACAGGAACTTAATTAATGCTCACAATTGACTTTGAAATAAGGGGAAAAGGTAAGGCTGATTACAGTCCGTCTGTTCAGTTCAAGAATTAATTCTGCTTATTTGTTTTGTTTTCCGTAAGTGATACGGGAACAATTCACATGTTTATTTTGCCATCTGAAAAAGGCTTGTGATAAAAAGAGTGATGGAATTAAAAGGAAAATGTGTACTTGACAGGCCACATTTGTCACTGCACGTGCAGGAACCTGTCACAAGCAAATTATGAGAGCACATGAACATTTTTGGTCTTTGTGGACTACTTTAGGTCGTGTGACCATGAAAGCTGGATTTCTTTCTGACCTACATATATTCCTTTGGTTTGAAACCTGAGCATTCTTAGGAATGCTCTATCAGACAGAGTAAAATTGTGCCCCCACCAATGAGTTTCCTCAGTTGCTGTATTCTAGTTTTCAGCTCAAATGTAAGGTTGGAAGAAAATGTTTGACTGGTTCCAGCCAGTTCCAAGAAGTTGTTAGAGCTGTGGCTATAGTTGTTATAGATTTGGGGACATTCATTTGCTTCAAGAGGAGGAAAATGGCCAATACCCTGGCTGCAGAGACCCAGTACTCTGGGTTGCCTCCTACAGGAAAGGACTGTTTAAAATGGCTTAGTAGAATGACACAAACCTTCTCTAGCACTGCAGAAGAGCTGACCTCCTTCTGTCTCAAATGCAGGCTATTTTGTCACATTGACTATAAGTGGTCGCTGTTCGGGCAAAGCTCCTACTGTAGCATCTACTGCAAATTGAGCAAAAGGGAATTAAATTACATCCTTAGGTGGAAATGAATGTCTGTGGGCAGAGCGTTCTCTTAGTACGTAGGAGATATGCATTGCAAGCAGAGGAATTCAAGACTGACTTCTTTGGCATTATGTAGGATTTACACAGGCACAACTGACAGCTCGGTCTAGGCAACTGTCTTTACCACTGTTGGATTAAGATGGGCAGAAGTATCAAAATCCAAAATAGAGGAACAGTTGAGAAAAATGATAATTAAATCTAGGAAATGGGTCTTGTCTCAGATTCACTTATAAGTCACAGAAAAATAAGTACAGCAATGAAATTAAACTCTAATTCAGATGCAATCAGTGCATTTCTTTTGTCTTTATTTATATTACAATGAGTGTTACTTACATTATTGTAGTTAAGTGAACAGGATTTATTCAGTCAATTGTGAAACACCAATGAACTATGATGGAATAAATGGAAAACTATGTATTCAAATGACACAGTTCTGACATACTTCTTAGGACAGATTATATTTGCTTCATGTGGATGCTAGAAGAGTCTTGATTTCAGTGTGGTCACACACTGCTGGATGTAAGGCAGCTTAAGGAAGTCACCTAGATGTGTGGATTTGCTTTGTTTTGCATAACAGTATTTCTGTGGTTTTCACAGTGATGTTATCATGAGATAATAGAAAACACACGTTGCTAAAACTGTTTCAGAGACTTTGGTAATTATTCCTTTTATTTGGAAACCAGAAATGTACATCCTTTCCTCATTAGTACATGTAGGATGTTTCTGGGTTTGCAGTATGATATTTAAAGGGCAAGTGCCTTAGGTTTTAATGGGACAACCTCACAAACTAGCATAGTTTTCAGCATCATTAACACTAATAATAATTTAATCCACTTGTGTTGGATCTGAATCGTCTTTCTTCTGAATCGTCTTTCTGTATAAAGTTACCTGATGATTTTTTAATAGAATGATGTGATTTCTGATCTCAATCTTATTTCTGCTGGAATAACTTAAATAGAAGCTAGTAGGGTTTATATCAAGGATTGATTTAGTACAATATTCCACATACTTAGATCTCCCATTCATTATAGGGAGTTAAAAATCAGGATCCTTTGGACTGATCAAAGGAAGATGTTTTGTAAATCACACGAGTAACCTAGGTATTTCCTTTTCCAGTGTTCAGTTTTAATGGTGGAAACTCTAAAGCTTTTGAAAATGCTGTAAGATTACGATAGATACTTTCAAGCCCTTGTGATTGATTGAAGTGGTTGATTACGTATAGCTAAAACAGTAGCTCATCCATTATAGAAAGAACAGTATCATTTTGCTGCTGAAAAGCTTATTAATGTGTTGTTTGGGGGTTTTTTTCTTCCTTTTTATGTCTTTTTTCTTTTCCCAGCGTTCAGCATCCTTAAGCATTGCGGGCTTTTCAAACAGTTTAGAAATGGAATTACCTTCAACAAGGTTATCGAGCTCGCCTGATCCACAGATGAAAGGTGCAGCCTCTGTAACACTTGCCCCATCCCCGAAGGCCCTTTGTGACTGTGATGCTCCTCCAGAGCCCATACCCAACTACAGCTTGATGCCGGACAGAGATCCAAGCGACCTGAGCCCTGGGGCTGCCACTGGCCTTGCACGAGGTGATGCACTCCAGGGCAGCACTAAGTGTAAGGTAGGAACTGAACTGCTTGAACTCTTGTACTGCAAGGGAATCTGCTTTCATTGATAGCACATGTTATTGTTAGTCAGTCAGTCAAAGGCAGCTACTTCAGTAAGTAAAGTTTTCCTTATCTGGTATTTAAAGACTGATTGCAAATTATTTTCTTAAGATGGAAAGAAAGAAAACCAATAATAAAATGTGATTATTTTTTTCGCCCCTCCCTTACCCTGAAGCTGGAAAATGAAGACTTCAATACTGTAGATCATCCTCTAGAAAACAGCTTGACTACTGCTGGGCAAGATGTAGTTAATGAATTAACTCTTTCTATGCAAAAAGTGCTGGAAGAACCTATAAATCTTTCAATCAAAAAATCTCAGCATTGCACTTCTCCTGAACGGCTCAGCAACACTTCTTTCCTGCCCATGAATGCCAGAGTGAGACAGCTTAGAAGCAAAGAAGGTACCAGGCTTTTCATTTAGGTTTTTGGTCTGTCTGTCTGTCTTAGCACTGTGCATTGCAAGCATTGCAAAGCAGTATGCTTATTAAAGTACCTACATATAAATGTGCTTTCCCAGCAAGCTTCAAATATTATCAGAGTACTTAATGCATTGGAAAAGCGTGCTTGATCTCATTTGTGAAGGAAAAACATGGAAATGATATGCCTTGAATTTGTAAAATCCTTCATCTGTGAACCAGAAACAAGTGTGTTTGTGTGAAGTACCTGAAGTATTATTTCTCTCAGAAGCACTCCTGTTAATGAGACCTGCAGTTATGATTATTGAAAAGCTGGTTTGAAGAGTACAAATCCAATTAAAAAAAAAAACCTTCCAGAATGTAATGTACCTTCACATCAGTAGTGTAGCAAATTTTTGTTAGGTTAATATATTGCACAGTATGTACTTTTGCTTGGCTCTGTCTACTGTGGAACATTCCCTTCAGCCAAGGCCTATTTCTTCAGCCTTAATGGAGAATTAGACCTTACTTAACTCTCTCATGGGCAAATTGCCAGCATCCTTGTGCTACACTGTAAAGCCTCATTCCTGTAAACTCTAGAAGTCAATGGGACTATTCATGCAAGCAAGGGATTGTAGGATCAAGCTGTTATCCTGTGACTTATGCCAATTTTTGGCTGCTTTTCTCTGTAAAAGATGAATTAATATTTCCATCTCTGTGCTGTATTTTTAGTCGGAGAATTCTAATTAGTACAAAGGTGGCCTAGCTCAGCGAGCCAAGGAAATGTATTTGTCTTCTCTTATGTGTTCTATGCCAAATTGTGACAGTTATGCCACAATCATTTGTGTGAGCTGTAAGAATCAGGTGAGGCCCTAAAAAGCTGTGCCTTGGTCACACTTAAGTGTCTCTGAGAGGAGCAGCTTTGTAGTATCTGCTTTGGGTGGTGTGACAGCACACACAGAAAGCAGCTCCAACATACACAATCTCACCATCTGTAACAGATGCTACAAATTTGCTCTGTGCAAGGCACAGGTCCTGTTATGCAAGAGGATGGAAAGACTAAAGCGTTTAATTCATTGTGGCTCCCTTTTCACAAGGAAGGGTCAGGATCCCATTCTGCTCTCACTGTTTAAAGGTGTGCAGTGAGGGCAGACCTGAGGAGATACAGTCACCATATGCAGCATGCACCAGTGAGAGCAAGTAACCCTGTTGCAAAGGCAATGTCATCTTTGCTAGGGGCTCTCAGTTGGACTTGCTGGCTTCATCAGTGCTCTGCTGCCAAATCCTGCTGCTTCTGGTGTATCCGTCCAATGATTTACCCTTTTCTAATACCAAATCTAAACATTTCAGCTTAATTTACAACAAAATACTTCTTATCCTAACTCCAAGGGATGTGGTAAAAATTGTACATAATTTCATCATTTTCCCTCTTACAGCCACTTCTTCTCTTGTCATGGCTTGCGTAAATACCCCCCCTTCCCTTCCCTTTCCTAGACTAAACCAATCTGTTGGTTTCAGTTTCTCCTCATGGGTCAGGGTTGTGATTTTTGAAAA